TTGTTGTTTTATCATGGCTTTCAGGTAGTCCAACAATTCTTAAATTATTTCTCCTGGATCTATTTTCCAGGTCAGTTGCTTTTCCAATAAGGTACTTTACATTTTCTTCTATTTTTTTTCATTCTTTTGATTTTGTTTGACTGATTCTTGATAAAGTCATTACAAAAGTCATTAGCTTCCACTCGCCCAAGTCTAATTTTAAAGGAATTATTTTCTTCAGTTAGCTTTTGTACCTCCTTTTCCACTTGGCCAATTTTTTTTGAAGGAGTTGTTTCCTTCAGTCAATTTTTGTGCTTCCTTTTCCAAGCTGTTTTTTCATAATTCTCCTGCATAACTCTCATTTCGTTTCCCAATTTTTCTTCTACCTCTCTTACTTGATTTTTAAAATCCTTTTTGAACTCTTTCAAGAGTGCTTTTGGGGCTTGAGATCAATTTATATTCCCCTTTGAGGCTTCACGTGTAGGCATTTTGACATTGTTGTCTTCTTCTGAGTTTGTGTTTCAGTCTTCCCCCTGTCACCATGGTAGCTTTCTATGGTCAGGGCTCTTTTTTGGTTTTTGCTCATTTTTTAAAGTTGTGCTCTGCTCCTGAGGTACAAGGGGCACTGTCCCAAGCTTCTTGCACTGGTGGCCGGGGGACTGGTCACTGGCTTTCTGCACTGGGGCCTCTGGGCCTGGCAGCTTGCCCACTGCCCTAGGATGGCCTGGTCCAATTGTGCCTATTGTGCCCTAGGTTCCGGAGCTGTCAGTTTGCCTGCTGCGCTGGGGCTGGAGGCCTCACAGCTGGTCTGCTGTGCCTCTAGCCTGCTGAGCTAGAACCGTGGGGCCTCAGTTGCTGATCTGTGCTGTGACTAAGAGCCTCCCACTGGCTTGCATAGACACTGCCTGTGCTGAGCTGTGTTCCCCTTTAACCAAGTGAGACAGACCTTTCCTGAAGTCCTTTTAAGTTATCTTGGGCTGGAAAATTGTTTCACTCCATATTTTTTTGTGGATTTTGTTGCTACAGAATTCTTTTAGAAGCTTGATTTAACATTGTTTCCCAGGGAAACTGAAGAGAGGTCAGGCAACTTTTTGGCTTCTCTCTGCCATCTTGGTTCCACCCTGTTTGTTTCTTTTTCGTAAGATCATTAATTCATAAATCGTTTGATTTCTGTCTGTCAGATCGGTTAATTAAGTTAATTTCCTGTTAAGTTTGGTAATTCAAATTTTTGTAAATAATCACTTAGATGCTTTAAGTCTTCTCACTCCTACAGAATGTCTAGTATTCCCTAATGAAACTCCTTCTTTTGTGTTGGTTGCAATCTCTCCATTTTCATTTGTAATTTTGTTGATGTGCATTTTCCATACCTGTTGTTTTGGTTTGCTGATAGTTTGTCAAGTTGTTGATCTTTTCCTTAAACCATCTCCTGGTTTTATTCACCGTTTATTCCGGATTTTATTCAATTTTTATTTCACTTCCTATTCTTTTATTCCTGCTATTAGCTCTGTGAACTTTCCTTTTCTTTAAAAAACAACAAATAAATCATCCCTCACTTTCAGTCTTCATGCAAACATTGAATGGATGTCCACCTCAGGTGTGCTGGAGAGGACATCACTTTTCCTAGGGTGCTGGGACTAGATGATTTCTGATGACAGGATTCAATGACTATTGCCTTCTTCCTCATCCAGTTTTTTTTTAGATGCAAGTTTAATTCATTTCTTCTCTTTCTCACCAAAAGAAGACACTGTGATATCAATTTGTCTCCAAGAATTGCTTTGACTGCATGCCATTGATGTTGACTTGTAGCGTTTTTAGCATGGTCCCTTATATGTTGTGTTTTTTCCCTTTATTTCTTGGTAGATGTTTTTGAGGGAATGCATTGAAACTGATTTATTTAAGTAAATTGTTGCAGAGCAAGTTTGATCAAGTGTATTAACATTTAATGCTATGTATGATAAATCATCTAAAAAGAGAAGGGAACACTGATTCAAAGAATTGAAAGGGTAAGGAAAGATGGAACTCTGCCCCCGCTAGATCCTGACGGCTCAAAGTGAAGAGGAAGCAACTAGCCAAGGACAAGGGCAAAAGAAATATATTTCTTACCCTGAAGCTAGCTTCTCTCTGTCATCTCAAAGGCCTTTCCAACTCTAAGTCCTATGATCCTTTAGTCTAAACAAATGGTCATGCCTGCTACCTTTTCTTGTTGCTCCCTTGTTTCAGTGGTGTCCGACTTTTTGTGACCCCATTTGGGGTTTGCTTGGCAAAGACGCTAGAATTGTTTGCCATTTCCTTCTGCAGTTCGTTTTACAGAGGAGGAAACTCAGGCAAACAGGGTGAAGTGACTTGCCCTGGTCTGAGACTGAATTTGAACTCAGTTCTTCCTGGCTCTAGGCCCTGTGCACTATCCACTGTACCACCTACCTGCCCTATTAGATGTTTCTGATCAGGTATCTCCTAAGCATCTGAAACTCAACTCCTCCAAAAGAGAACTCATTATCTTACCCCAGAAACCTACCATTCTTCCAAGCTTACTTATTGCTTTCAAAGGCACCATGATCCTTCCTGTCACCAAAGTTTGTAACCTAGGTGACATCCTCAACTTCTTCTTCTTCCTCACCCATATCATTGACAAATCTTGTTTTTCCCTTCACAAATCCCTTGCATATATACCCTTCTCTCCATTCATATAGCCATCTCTCTAATTTAGGGCCTTATCACCCTTCACCTCGTCTATTGTAGTAAACTCCTATATTTAGTCTCCCTGCTTCAACTCTTTTCCCATTCCAAGTGATATTCCTAAAGTTTAGGTCTGACAGCATCAACTCCCTACTCAATAAACTCCAGTGACACCCTACTCCTTTTAGGAACTTCTGTCCAGCATTTAAAGCTCTTCAGAGTTTGTCCCCTTCCTACTCTTACAGTCTTCTTCTTTTTTTTTTTAGGCAATTGGGGTTAAGTGACTTGCCCAGGGTTACACAGCTAGTAAGTGTCAAGTGTCTGGTCTGAGACTAGATTTGAACTCAGGTCCTCCTGGCTCCAGGGCCGATGCTCTATCCACTACGCCACCTAGCTGCCCCTTCTTACAGTCTTCTTACACGTTACGGCTCCACAACCACTCTGTGGGCCAGTCATACTGACATCCTTGCTGTTCCATTCTCCTGATTCTCCATCTCCTCTTTCTGTGGCTCTGCTCCATTGGTGCCTCCATCCCTAGCATGCTCTCCCTTCTCATAGCTATCTTTTAGAATCCATGGTAGCCTTCAAAACTTAGCTCAAGCACCTCTTTCTCCATGAAGCCTTTCTAGAGTCACCACAGCTGCTAGCATCCTCTCTCCCAAAACTACCTTGAATTCATTTTATATATATTTTGTACCTGTACATACTGAATGTGAGCTCCTAGAGGGAAAGGACCACTTTCCCTTTTGTTTTTGTAACCCCAGTACTTGGTCCAGTGTCTAGGACATAGTAGGTGTTTGAATGATTACTGATTGACTGACTGGCCGATGTCAAGCTGCCCCACTATATTCCTGACCCTCATAGAGAACCATAGGTATCATGGGAAGTAGTTAATCAGATAAAAAGATGCTGCTAGGAACTGGAAAGCAAGGCCTGACATGGAAATATCATTTGGGTTATTGGTTTGCTTTTTACTGGAACATGAAGTTCCTGGGTTTGCTATGTCTGTGGTAGACACTGGACTTAAATGGGAAATTTCCAAAACCAAGTTGCTTGATGTTAAGAACCTTCTCTTATGAAAAGACTGCACAGAAGTGAATAGGATGCCCTCAAAAGCAGGGAAGTACTTTTCTGGGGGAATCACAAAGAGGGAAACAATAACATACCAGGGATGGGGAACCTGTGGCCTGGAGGCCACATGTGGCCCTCTAGGTCCTCAAGTGCAGCCCTTTGACTGAATTCAAACTTCACAGAACAAATCTCCTTAATAAAATGGTCTGTTCTGTAAAACTTGGACTCAGTCAAAAGGCTGCACACAAGGACCTAGGAGACCACAGCTTCCCCATCCCTGGCTTAGACAGTTACAGAAAAGGAGAAGAAAAAGCCAGAGCATAAGGAAGATCTATTGTGGTTTTGAGATAAATATAGTTACAGGCAAACCCTCCCCCCTCCCCTTATACTTCAGTTAAAGAATTGTATTGTGACAATTTTTCAAGTCATGAAGAGGAAGAATTGGTTTAATAGTTTGGAGGGGCCTGAGCCAGAGTGGCAGGAATACAGGACACAGGGCACCAGCTCAGATCTGCTTTCTCCAGTATTGCTAAATGCTACCTTGAGGCTTATCAAAGGTTCATGGGAATTTCCTTGGCACTGAAACAAATGGCTAACAGCCAGGGATGTGAAAGGATTTAAAAGAAAATTTCACAGAGATGGTCCTGACAGCTGGGGGATAGGGTTTGTCTGCTATCTGTGGACCTGGCTTGCTAGAAAGCGGGAAAAGGTGATAATCAGCCCTAGGCATGGACAGTCTTATAAAGGAAAGATAAAAATCTCTTAGAGAGGCTAGCAGCAACGGCATACAAATTTCCTTAAGGACTTTGTAAGCCATAAGGAGGCACTTAGCAACACTAGGACTAGGACATCTGATGCTTTTGCTCATTTCTAACCCTCTGGCCCAGGTCTCACACCCTTATATCATCACCATCACCATCACCACCACCACCACCATCACCTCACCATCACCTCACCATCACCATCACCTCACCATCACCATCACCATCACCATCACCATCACCACTCATATTAGCTTTAAATTTTACAGAGCATTTTTCTTCCAACAACTTTCATGCAAATATTATTTTTCAGATGAAGAAATTGAGGCTTTAAAAAGTTAAGTGCCTTACCCAGGATCACATAGCTAAGAGTCTGAGGTGGGGGGTCCAAATCAAGGACTCCTGACTCTAAGGTTGGCACTCTCATCCACTACAAGGGACTCATCAAATATTTGACAAACAGGTTTCTTGGAGAATCTGATAAAAAAAAAAGATTGTGTGTTTTCTGATCAGGTCACTGAACTGGGATGGATTACACGCTGGAACCAAATATGTCCATGACCACAGAAGACTATTATCCAGACTGGCCGGCTAGCCCCTGCCACACTGCATTCACCCAGAAATCCAGCTCTCTGCTTCTTGCCTTGCTCTACTGCCTCCTTTTTCTCTTTGGCCTGCTGGGGAATGCCCTGGTCATTTTGGTTCTGGTAGCCTGTAAGAAGCTGAAAAGCATGACTGATGTGTACCTGCTGAACCTGGCCATCTCCGACCTGCTCTTCGTGTTCTCCTTCCCCTTCCTGACACACTACACTCTGGACCAGTGGGTGTTTGGGAACACCATGTGCAAGGTCATCTCAGGAGTTTATTACATCGGCTTCTTCAGCAGCATCTTTTTCATCACCATCATGAGCATGGACAGGTACCTGGCTATCGTCCATGCAGTCTATGCCTTGAAGGTGAGGACGACCAGGAAGGGCATGGCTGTCAGCCTCCTGGTGTGGTTGGTGGCTGTTTTAGCCTCTGTCCCTTTGCTGGTGTTTTACCAGGTGTCTTCAGAGGAGGGCACTCTCAAGTGCTACTCCTTCTATGATGACAGAACTATTGAGTGGAAACTCATCACCCACTTTGAAATCAACATCCTGGGCCTTGTCATCCCACTCAGCATCCTTGTTTACTGTTATGCCAACATCCTGAGGCACCTGAAGGGGTGTCAGAACCATCACAAGATCAAGGCCATCAGGCTTGTCCTCATTGTAGTGGTGGCATTTTTCCTCTTCTGGGTTCCCTTTAACATGATGCTTTTCCTGAACTCCCTACACAACCTGCACATCCTGGATGGGTGCGACTTGAGTCAGAAACTCACCCAGGCCACCCAGATAACTGAGGTCATCTCCTTCACCCACTGCTGTGTCAACCCTATAATTTATGCTTTTGTGGGGGAAAAGTTCAAGAAGCACCTCTCTGATATCTTTGGGAAATACAAACGTTATTTCTGGGTATACAAAGAAAGCTATTACTCTCAGGAATATACGGACAGATCATCTGTACCCCACTCAGCTTCCTCCACCACAGACTATATTTTGTGAAGGAGGATGGTCCTGGCCCTGGCAGAAAATGTTTGTATGGAATTCAGGGATTGCAGGAAGGAAGCAGGGAGAAGATGTTTTGTTTACAAGGAAGACAGACATTTGCTATTTTCTTCTGGTCTCTCCTAATATGGATTAAATACTCTCTTCCTTCCCTCCTTCATTTCAAAAGAGGCCATTTGCAATTTTCTGGATATATTCTCTGGCTGATGCTTTCTTTGGAGGTAGGAGGAGAGTTAACCTGAACTAAATACTGATTGCGTAAGTCAGGGTGTGCCAAGGAGTTGTATAAGAACCCTTAAGTTGGGAATGGTCAACCTCTAACCATGGGCTTTAATTTCATCTAACCTGCAAGGCAAGTATCAAGAGGCATATGTAATGTAAATACACTAGACTGGGGCTCAGAAGAAGCTGTGTTCTAGGCTTGGCTCTGCTGCTAACCAAAGGTGAAACTGTGAATATAACAGTTCACTTCTTTGTGAACAGTGATTTCCTCTGATCTCCCTAGCTTTACACAGGCTGAGTCCCTGGTCTGGAATGCACTCCTTCCTTTCCTCCCCATCATGGAATAATACCCAACTTCCTTCCACGTACAGCTCATGGACTGCTTCCCTCATGATCTACCTTTCCTGATCTACTTTGCCTCCTTGCCACCAAGTTGTTAATATTCATTCATGTTCTTGAAATAACTTTGTATATCTTTTTTTATTTACTCATATGTGTAAACATTGTAGTCACCAGTGTAACGTATGCTTCCTGTGCGGGTGGGGGGTGTGGAACTGTTTACTTTGTGTTTGTATCCCCAGTGACAGCTTCCAGCACTTTCTCTTGCAAACAGTAGGCACTTCTAAAAAAAAATTATTAAATTGAATTGAATTGAGAATATGGGTTCTTACAAAGCCACCAGTAATTATGGCATAAAGAAAAAAGCAAGTATATTCCCAGTGTCTCAGAGGGCTTTGAAGGAAACCCACCCATTTGTAGGCAAGCATTCAAAGCCTGAATCTGAATCCAGAATTGCAATCCTGGAGACTACCATGTCACAAAACTCTGATCTAGTTCTGGGTGGACTTCTCACAAGCTGGAATATATTTTTTTTAACATGACTAAGGCAAAAAGGAGAGGCCAACAGTGAGTGGGAGACAAGACAGAAGGAAACCCCTGCAGGGGTTTTATGCTGTGAGTTCTGAGCACAGAGACTAAGCAGGACAGGCTGGTCGCAGCAGCCACATCTCCACTCTACAGAACAAAAATCGGAGATGGAGATTGATGGTTCAAAGGGTGGCCACTTCTTGGCAATCAACTCAAGGACATTAAAGATTTAATTTCCTCCCTGGTGTCTATCTCTGATAAACATTTTCATATTTTTTTCTGTGTTCACATGCAGCTTTTATTTGTTGATTTTTTTGTTTTGTATTAAAAAAACCCCTATGATCAAAAACTTCTTTATAATGCATATCTGTGTATTAATTTTGTGCAGGTAAGAGTGCAATGGAAGATGCCTGTGACTATTAGAAATATACAAAATTTAATCAGGACAGAGAACTGAGTTCAGAACGGCTAGGATTTTCTGGGTTCACAGAGAGCATTTTATTTAGTTTGGAGGCTCTGAGCTGTATTTGTGAGAGAAGTTTATGGGTTTGATGTTTATTGGCTGTTGATAATGTTTATCTAAAATAATAGAGAGAAATGATTCATGTGGAACAGGACCAGTTCACCCCTAGGCTAAAACAAGTCATAATTGTAACCAAGGTTGGGTTTGGTTTAGAATATAGGGTACATCTAGGGGAAAACGCTCCAGGCTCTGGAATAGTGACAGAAGAAAGAGGTGGTCTGGAAGAGTCCACTCCCCCTCCTCCCCTTTGAAATTACTTAGGATGGAGGAAGGGAAAGAGCAAGAGCTAGTAGAACATTTTTTTTTATTTTTTAAATTTATTTTATTTTCGATTCACAGAACAAAACAAACATTTCCATAACACAGTACAATGAAAAAGATAATTGCACATGAAACTGCAAATCTACCATCTACAACTTGCTATTCCTTCCAATCATACAACAAAGTTACCATGTAAATTTCTTTATTTCCTTTTTTTCTTCCCTCCCTCCTCCCCCACCTTAGAGATGGCTACCGTTAGACACAAATGGGTGTGTGTATGTACATACATACACACACACACACACATATACATATACATATATACCTATATATGTATATATATATATTTGTAAATTTATTCTACATATGCTTCTATTTATCAGTTCTTTCTCTGGATGCAGATAACTTATAGGGCTTTTTAAGAAATTTTCAGATTTCCGTTCTCTGGCCAAACTTTGTCTCAGAATAGCAGCTGCTTGGTGATAATTGAGGACTCACATGGCATTCGAATACAGGACCTCTCATACTTACAAAGTCACTTCCAAGGCTGAACGCTCTTCAAGAACCCATCACCTTCTCAGGAAAGGAAACAAAAGCAAAAACAGTAGCCAGGGGGCCAGGCACAAGCTCACCTAGTTGAGCCAGTGTTCCATGCTGCCCACCCATTCTCCACACCCCTTCAGGAGGAGTCCAGAGACGAAACACACTCCCTGAGACAAGGAGAAGCAAGAGCCCAAGTCAAATGTTGTCTCTTCTTTTAACTGATAGAGCGCCTTGACCCCACATCCTCCCACCCCATTCCACTCCATGTTGGCACGGGGAGGACCAAAGAATTCCTGAGAGCTTGCTGGATTACAGAACAGCATCCAGTGCTCCCAGTGCAGGACCACTGAATGGCCAGAGGAGAGCTCCAGAAGCTCCCACAAGGTCATCCCGAACCAGGAAGGACAACTCTAAGTTGGGTGCTCCATGCGATGGTTCCTCCCTACACTCTCCTCTCAGTTATCCCATCTAACAGCGTTGAACGTCCAGTGCATTTTTTCCCTCCGATCCCTTGCAAACTATCAGGTACTTTTTAGGGTTTAAAAATTGATTTCCTTTTTTTGTTCTTTCGTTCAGGGGGCTACAAAGGGAATGCTAATCCATTAGATTATGCATTCTTTAAGGGCTGGTACTGTCTTTTGACTCTCTTTGTGGTGCCTGGCACTTAGTAGGTCTTGATGTTTATTGATCTTCTAGTCTTAGACAGTTGCAGGGGGGAGGGGCACTAAGAGGTTAAGTGATTTGCCCATCTGTGACAGAATCAGACTTAGATCCAGGTCTTCCTAACTCGGAGGCCAACTCTCTTCTAGTCTCCACTGCCTCTCCCAATCTGAAACATAAATCAATTTTTCACATGCAGAAAACTTTCAGAAGTCTATGATGGAAATAAACTTTCATTTTAAAATATCTTTAAAGTCTGAAATGAAAAATAGTCACCTCCCAGTACAAAAAAGAGACAGTTTCTTATCTGGCACAGAGTGGTAATTGCAAGTTTAAATATACTTGAATGCCCACAGCTCACGTGAAACTGCGAGATGTGAAAAGAACAGTTTAGATTTGACACACTCACCTCAGAGCCCTTCTTCCTTCTCTCCACAGTTAGTCAGTGCCTCTGGTCCTGACACAACACTAGTAGCTCTGCTGGGTGAACAGACCACCTTAGAGGCACCTGAAAGCAGCTGGCCTAGGTACAGGCCCTGGTTTGCACCATCTGAATGCTGCCTGAGTTGTTGCATTTCTGCCAGCTCTGGAGAAGAGTTACCCTTATCAGTGGGTGGAGGGGGAAGTAAAGGAGGTCTGCCTAGCCACCTGGAATAGGTACTGTTAAGACCCAGGAGTATGAATTCAGTCCCTACTGTATATCAGTTTAATATGTCCAGGCACTAGAGTTTGCAGAACTAAGAGGCTCACTGAAGTAGGGAGAGATTTTTTCTTTGTATGACTTCTTTGTACTTATATCTCCAGCCCAGTACAGTGCTTGGTACATCATAGGTGCTTAATAAATACTTGTTGATTGGACTTTTTTTTTTAACAGAATTGGGTTTTGGCAAGGCTGCTGGACCAGCCTGCTCTATGCCTTGCATCTGTTTCTGATCTTCCCCTTGTGAGAGTCTCATGTGCTTTACCCTACGATCAAGGGCTTCACCAAAGTGGCCCAGTGATGTTTTTGCATGTTCCTAGAGAAATAAGACTCCTAAGTGCTGTGTGTGCAGTCAGGAGTATGTGATCATCTGGGGACATTCTGTTCGAAGTGGAACCATTAAGCAGGAATCAGAGGGGTAGTGATGAGAGAAGTGGCTCCCAGACTAATGCCTGAGGCAAAGCTAAAATGAGAGCAGGCTTGGCTAAAATCAAGGAGGGGCATAGCCCAGACCTAGATGCAAGGAGATGTCCATTGGTGGGAGACCGATCAAACAAGTGGTGGCCCAAGAATGTAGTGGAATATTACTGTACTACAAGGAACAATGAGTATGAAGATTGCATGGCAAGACATATATGAACTGATGAGAAGTGAAGTGAGCAGAACCAGGAAAAGAAGATTCCCAAGAACTTTCAGTGTAAACTGAAAGAATAACAAAAATGGAAACTGGACGCTGTGTAATGAAAATGGCCAAGCCTGACCTTAAAGAAGAAATTTTAAAATGTCCCTCACTTCTTTGCAGAGATGGGGAATGATGAATGGGGAAACTAAGATTCTGGTCAGATCTTATTCATGTTTGTTGATTTGTTTTTCTGAACTGATTTTTTTTTTCTCTCTCTTTTCTAGAATCCTTGGCTTCTTTTCAAGACTCAGCTCAAATCTCCCTTTCTGTAGAGGAATTTTCCCACCCCTACCCCTACCCCCAGATTACTTTCCATATACTACGTATGTGGTATGTATGTACATACATATATTGCTCTTTAGAGGTTATTCACATGTTGCCTTCCTCTATAAAATGTGAGCCCCCTGAAGACAGGAATTGTGGTTTTGCTTTCCTTTGTATCCCCAGCATTTAGCCCAGTACCTGGCATATAGTAAGCACTTAATAAATGCTTCTTATTATTATAAGGGATGGTTTTCTGGGTCAGGGAAGGGAAAGGATTATATTGTTAAATGAAGGTGATTAAAAGAAGTTATCAGTTTTTAAAGACATGGGGAGAATAATGGCGGGGATGGGGGATGGGGGTTTAAGTAAAAGAATATCATATTCTTCCTGTCATTCTCTCTCCTGCTTACGAATTTGCTGAATGTTGGTGAATTACAGTGAATTGAATTGACAGGCCATGATGTGTCTCTCTCCAACAACAATAATCAGTTGTAAGGTCAGAGACCTAGAGATCTGGGCTCTCCACTGGGGCATGCATCCCACAATATGCCCACTATGCCACTGCCTGTACTGCCAATGGGACTGTATATCTGGGGAGCTGCAAGCCTGTGTGCCTGTGAATAAGAAGTTAACTGGTAACATCCATTAAATAAAACCAATAGATGTAGAAAAAGTTGTTATAAAATCCAACTTTGTTATATTAAAAAAAACACTAATAGTGTCTCAATGCAATAAAAATAAATCTACCTATAGCCAAGCAACAATACAAGGAGGAAAGAAATATTAGAAGCAATTCCACTAATAATAGGGACCAAAAAAAGGGTGGTAATAAGTTCTTCTTGTTTAAAAACCAGTTGTTTTTTTCCATGATGCTATGGTGGTTTTTAGAACTTCTATTCCTTGACATTCTTCTCACTGACAAAGAGGAACTAGTTAGTTATTGACACAGAGAAGTAGAAACCTTGGGGAAAGTTACCAGTCTATCTTGGGGTTTATGATAGAGAAGGGGAGCCGAGCCAGGACTAGTCTGATATGCACTCTAAGAGTGAAGAGAGTAGATTTCAAAGGGTTTGTAGAAAGGAGAGAGAGGTGGGAGCCCACAGATCAAAATTCAATAGACAAAGTCAAACGTTTTCTAACTAGGTGGCACCATACCTGAAGTCAGGAAAACCGGAGTTCAAATCTGGCTTCAGACACTTGCTAGCCCTTTGACCCTGGGCAAGTTACTTACTTTCTGTTTGCCCAGTTTCCTCATTTGTAAAATGAGGGTAATAACAGCAGCTCTCTCCCAGTCTTGTGAGGATCAAATGAGATAATTGTAAAGCTCTTGGCACAGTGCCTGGCACACAGGAAGTGCTTTATCAATTTTTGTTTTTGTGGAGTTGCTTCAGTCATGTCCAACTCTTTATAACCCCATTTGGGGTTTTCTCAGCAGAGATACTGGAGGGGTTTGCCATTTTCTTTGCCAGATCATTTTACAGTTGAGGAAACTGAGGCAAACAGGGTTAAGTCACTTGCCCAGGGTCACATAGCTAATAAGTGTTTGAGGTTGGATTTGAACTTAGGTCTTCCTGACTCCAGACCTGGTGCTTCATCCACTATGCTGTCTAGCTGCCTCATATATCAATGGTAGCAGTAGTAATAGTA